AGTATGGGAGCATATGAACTTAGTTCCAGCCCGGCAGACGATTTCGACTTCATGTGGCCGAACGGATTGCAGACACAAAATTGTGATTTTTATTCCCAGACACCGATGAAACGGACGGAGAAGATGAAGAGGACGATGATTGCATTGCGGAAATATCATCAAGTCTCTCATCGACCAAAATCACTTCTCGAACCAAATGATGAGTTCCAAGGAAAAACAAAGGAGCGCAAAGAATTTGGTCATTTTTTTGGCTCTCCTCATTTTTGTCACAACTGATATTTCCTTTAACCCTCTATTACATGCATACACATATATGTAATTTAACGTATTTTCTTTTTTTAAAAATTCTGTACGAGCGCAACTATGTTTCTGAATGCATCTATGCAAGCCCAAGGTTATATTATATTGGATAAAAATGACGGAGCCCACTCCAATGTTACAAAATTAGGTTAATAAATGTGTTTTTTCCGCCAATCCCGGGCTGCGTAGATCGGCTCTGGCAACACATTTTCGGCGCAGAATTTTGGTTGGTACGAGTGCTCGAATGATAATGAAAACACATTGAACACTGTAATTAAGATATTTTCTTGAATTTGTATATTTTATGTATAGATAGTTTTGTAAAATTATCTTAATAAAACCTTTAAAAGAAAAAAAAAGAAAAAAAAAAGAAAAAAAATTACTATTCATGTTATTAAACAATCTTCGATAATAATGGTTTTAAGACTTAGAAATACCTTCAAACGACTGCAAAGAAAGTAGTGTGCTGCAACGACAAGTTTTTGGCGCATTAATTAAGCTCTCAAAAGCAAATTCAGAGTCTCACCGATCGGCCTTACCCTCATCTGCCGCAAAAGGGATATCTCATTATCTACTCAAATTTAACTTTATCCATATTTTTCAGTTTTACATGATAAAAGTACCAGAACAAGGTAATAGAACTTTTACGGTTCCCTAGAAGGATCGTTCAGGCCAGTATTTTCACGTTAAATTTTCATTGCTTTCAGAGCCATCCATGGGGTCTGCCGATCGGTCCCATGAACCGGAAATCGTTTGCCGGGCTAGAACTAAGTTCATATGCACCCATACTACACGTTTGTACAATATAAAGGTTAGGGAAGAACGTTAGAGTACTTTTCAGGAGCCGAAAAGTGGCTCTTCCGTTCGATTTTATCGCATTTTTTTTTTTCTGTCGATCGGTCGCACGAACTAGAAATCGTCTGCCGGGCTAGAACTAAGTTCACATGTACTTATACTATACGTATACATAATATAAAAGTTAAGGAACAACATTAGAGCATTTTTCAGGAGCCATAAAGTGGCTCATTCTTTCGATTTTATTGCACAAAGGAGCCGGTTTTGGAGTCTGCCGATCAGCTGTATAAACTTGAATTCGTCTGCGGGGCTAAAACTAAGTTTATATGTACTTATACTATACGTATACATAATATAAAAGTTAAAAAACAACATTAAAGCATTTTTCAGGAGCCATAAAGTGGCTCTTTCTTTCGATTTTATAGCATCTTAGAGCCATTTTTGGGGGTCTGCCGATCAGTCGTATGAAATTGAATTCGTCTGCCGGGCTAATACAAAGTTTACATGTACCCAAACTATACGTGCGTACAATATAAAGGTTGAAAAACAACGTCAAAGCACTTTGCAGGAGCCATAAAGTGGCTCTTTCTTTCCATTTTATTGCACGGAGGAGCCGGTTTTGGAGTCTGCCGATCGGCCGTATAAACTCGAATTCGTCTGCCGGGCTAAAACAAAGTTTATATGTACCCAAACTATACGTGTATACAATATAAAGGTTAGGGAACAACGTCAAAGCACTTTTCAGGAGCCGAAAAGTGGCTCTACCGTGCGATATCATCGCACGCTTTTTTCCGTTTTTGGGGGGGCGCAGCGGCCAGACGCACCACTTTTGAAGTCTAATATTGCCCAATCCCTTACTAGGGAGGTCAGAACTATGTCTCTGCCAAGTTTCAAGCGTGCCGGAGTAGTGGCGCCAAAAATGCAGCTGGCTCTTAGACTATAAGATAACTGTTTTTTTAAAGGGAAAGAAAGTTGACCTGGCCTAAAGTATTTCATAGTGAGAGCCCAGTTGCTTGAATCAGTATGACCATCCTTATCTTTTTAATACAAGAAAGCTGTGCATTTTTAGATTGGTCTGTGCATTCTAGGCTGACATAATGCTTTTGCAGCTGTAGGCAAACAATGGAGATGTTGCATGCAGTGTTCGAAACTCACAGGCGCCAACGCGCCAAATGCGCCTAAAAATTCGGCCATGGCGCCTAAAAAATGAAGGCTCTGCACCAATGTGGCCCCTAAAAATTGCCCCATAAAAATCTGGATTTTCACAGGAAGTCACATACAGAAAGAAAAACAAATCTATTTGAATTGAAAAAACTCAGAATTTTCAGCACTACAAGTGAAATCTTGCTTTTTCTACTCTTCACAATTTCATTCTTAGTGATTTTGTCTTCCCAAGTTACAGCTACTTACTATAGTTCTGTTACGAAAACATCTTGCGTCTAATTTTTCACTAAATGCGCTGTAATATATAGGCAAAAAGTCAATTTGGCCCCTTAAAAATCTTCAATGGCGCCTAAAAATCGGGCTTGATGCGCCACATGGCTGATTTTCGAACACTGGTTGCATGTGTGAGGAATTTGCGATTTGACTATTGATTCTCATGTGAAAGTTCGCAAGAAACACGATGGTGCCACTGGTTTTCTCTAAAATCATCTCCCAAGCTCAAAAAAAGCTCTCAAGTTGAGGCCAAAATGGAGGGGATATCCCTTGCTATCCTGAGAGTCCATCTCTACATCAAGACAAACTCTTAATCAGGCACTTGAGGCGCCTCATGAGGTTATGCTGTACAGCATCGACTCGTAGCTTCAGCATTAATGCCGTATGCCCAGGTAGCGGCCGTGCGAGCATGCGGCGCCGCGCCTTATGCGCGCAACCTGCCGGCGGCGGCGTCGGACATTGATGCCCGATGCTGGAGTGCCGACCGAGCCAGCATTAAGCGCTGATGCTGAGGTTTGATGCTGGCTCAGGGACGAACATGGGCTTCAACTTCTGAGGCCGGACCCTCGGCTTGCGGCCCGATACGGCCTCAATTTTCGGACCCGCCACCCAGCTTAATTACCGACGGGGCTGTCCTAGAAGACCGCGACCCTCGGACTTGGCGATGAATTCGCGGAACACCCCTTTGTCTTGGCGGCGGCCCACGCCTCGCCGAGAAGTTCTAAGAAGTGGACGCCGAGGAAGGGTTGAAAACACAGCCCGGTGCAATTAGCCGACCGGCAGTTGGGCCCGGGGCGCTGGCGTCCGACGTGTCTGCTAATTGAAGCCGCCTCAATTTTGATGCTGGACTCAGCATCAAAACTGATGCAGCATCAGAAAAGGAGCCGGGCTGGCAACGGCACATGCGCTCCCCCGGCGCACTGATCGACGCGGCATGAAAGTCCGCGCCGGGCCTCCGCCTTGCGCGCCGATGCGGCTCCGTTTATGATGCTCCCTCAAACCACAGCTCTAAATTCCTGCTCTTAATGCAAAGATAGGGAGCAAATACATTAGCAGTGATGCCGTGTTTTCAGTTTTAGAGTCCCCAAATAAAATGGCAGCCCTGTCAATGTATTTCCTCCCTATCTTTGCATGGAGAGTTTGTTTTGATGTAGAGGTGGACTATCAGGATAGCGTGGGATATCCCCTCCATTTTGGCCTCAAGTTGAGAGCTTTTTTTGAGCTTGGGAGATGATTTCATAGAAAACCAGTGGCACCATCAAGTTTCTCACGAACTTTTACATAAGATTCAACAGTCAAATTGCAAATTCCTCACACGAGCAACATCAGCTCCATTGCTCTTATTGGTTGATAAGCTTCATAAAGGTTTCATCAACCTTCTTGCGATGAAATATACCACATGCACTGTTACCATTTCTTTCTTCCCTATCAATCCAATTCTTGAATTCTTGCTTTTCTTTGAATTATCATGTTATTATGACCTTAAATTAGCCCTCAAGTTTTTCATTAGATATAGGTATTGTGATTATTTCATTAATTTTTAACAGAAGTAATTCAGTAATGGAGTGGCCATCTTGTTTTCTTACTTACGGCTGTAAGAACACCATTTCAGCCTAAATTCCAGGACCAATGAAAAAGCAGCACACAAATGACCATACTTTTCTTTTGTAGGTCCTCTAGATGGAACGCCCTCTCTTCTCATCTTGAAGAAAGAAATACTAAATAATAAAGTGTAAATAAAACGCTACAATTTTAGGCATTGCTCTTACAAATATAAATGTATAAAAAATTATCTGTAGAAAATTATTGACATCCTTAGAAATCTATACACTTATAAAATTGAAGGAGATCATTAAAAGGTTTAAGTAAGTTTCTTCTCAACTTTTCTTCTCCCTTCTTCTGCCCTCATGTAACTATCTCGAGAACCCCTCCCCCTCCTCCATACCGTCCCTATGTTATTTATGGACGTTCCAATGCCCTTGTCATTACGCCCTATTTTCTCTGAAACAGGGGAATAATTAATCAAGGATTCCTCACTCATTGAGAATACTCGTTCATGTTAGGCATGATCAGCCCTTGGGATTATTGTTAAGGTTTGAATTTCAAGTTTTCATTTCTCAATAAATACCTTATTTTTGCCCAGTTGCTTGAAAAAATTCATATTTGCATCCGCCCCGGCATTCAACAAAAGGCTCAAACAAATAAATTTTGTGATTTTCGGTAAAATAATTCTATTTGCCAAGGTGTTTTACGCAATGCCTGATTTCGTCATTTGCTCGCAAGACGTATTGCATTACCATAATTTAAACCTATCATTTGAAAATGCACTTCCACCTCACAGGTATTGATTTCTAGAAACCAGGTTTACTGCATGATTTTTAGAATTTTGCGGAACCCCATAAAGTCGGAATGTAGTTCCTTTTTTAAATATTGGTGTCTACATTTGCACCGTTTGTCATTTTTTACAGTCGATAGAAGAATTAGAGAAAGAACTACTGAATGGACAAAAATTACAAGGACCAATTACTGCAGATGAAGTAAACTATATGTTGAAAGCAAAATCAATGGAACCAAAGTAAGTAATTGAGCATGTAACTTTCGCTTGACTTAGATTTTTAATTTACAATGTTCCCACCATAAACCAAATCCTGCACTGCACGTACTTTAATTACAAATGAAACCATTAACATGTTTCGTACCCACCTGTCGAGTTTGAGTGTGTATATCGACCAGGTGGAGAAACGACTCTGTAGCTTGAGAGATCCTATGAATCTCTATCGGTGCTTTAAGGTTTCATAATTTCACCCGTCAGGATTTCAGGAACTTTGGTGCCTTATATAGATAGGTGTACAACATCCTTGATAGTCTCGGCTGGCTGAGCATCAGTCAGTCAGTTTTTTAAGCTATAGCTCCATAAATTTATTTGAACCAAGAACCCTTCAATTGCAGGAACAAAATAAGACACTTCTGATGTCTGTAGCAGTGACCTGGGAAGTGAACAAGGATGGAGAGATAAACATTTTTTCTAACCCGACTAGGCGATTTTTTTATGCATATCTTCAGACAACAATAGCTTTTTCGGCAATAACTATCATAACATTTTCATTACTCGCTGAGACTGGATTTCTAAGTTAAGGATGAAATGAGGAACTTGTTGATAACAGAGATTATTTTGTAAAAGAGTGTTTAAAGCTGATCGCTTGTTAACAAAGGTCAAAATAGAGAAATTGCAGGTATCTGGAATGGGATGGATTGCGTGTTTAAGTGGAAACTGAATAAGAGGATGACCTTGGTTCATGAATTAGCCAATTATTGGAGGAGATATGAAAAAATGATCTAATCTGCCAAAATACTTGTGTTTAAATGGGAAATGCTGTCATGTGATGTCTCTGGGCAGTGCATTTTCTCTTTTATAAATCTACTTTAATACTTTTTCTCAACTCAGAAAAAAATTTCAAGAAACACTGCAAAATCAGCTCTTCAAGCACTTTCACATGAAGCGATAAAACATTTGCTTGTAAACTCTCCTTTGACTTTTTTATTGTAATTAAGAACTTCGCAAATAAGGTATCTTCCTTGTCTTGTAAATACAGAAATGTAGTGTAACCCAGTTCCATTGCTTTGTTGTCATAGTTGGGACGACAAGTCCTTTTCCCTTCACAAAAGATCTCAATTGCTCAAAAATTGAGGTACAGTCTTAGAATTTTGTAATTTGTTCTCGACCCCCCCCCCCCCCCCCCCCCCNGATATTAATTTTTCTGGGTCATGTGATTTTGCACAAAAAAAGAAGAAAAAAAACATGACGATCTCTATAACACTCATGACTGATGTGGGCGCCTATCAGAGGGGTGGTTGTACCATACGGTGGAGCAAAGAACTCCTCCTTAAGGGACACTGGAAAAAAAGTATGACAATCTCAAGTATACTCCTGGATGATTTTGGCGCCAACCAGATGAGTAGTTGTGACAGCACCGGCCAGAGGTATGGTTGATTAAACCAAGTTTTCGGCTGACTTGACTGTACCTCTGGATGGTGCCGTAACCACTCTAGCTGGTACAATAAGGTGGAGCAAAAAACACTTTTTCGAAATCCCTTGACGGCTATATCAGAAAAGTTGCCTCTCATAATAAAAATGGACCCGTCTTTCTTCTTTTTCTGAAATTCTAACTTCTTCTGTTGGCAAGGTCCATCTAAAGTTTCGGATTCTACGAAAAAATCACGTTTTTCAACCTGTAAAACAGGCTAGCGCCGTTTGATTTCAACTTTACGTCTTGAAACTGACGAATCCCCATGTTTTTGATACGCAAAGTTCATTTATAACCATTGCAACGTTGCCAATAATACGTGAATTGGAAACTCCTAAGTGCTCCAATTGTAAAATGTGTGATCCCAATAATTATTGAGATTTTTGACAATTTGATGATTTTTTTAAGGACGAAGCAGTCACGCTAAAACCCCGAAATTTTGAGATTATAGTCTCCGAACACACTACTTTTGATATAAATTGAACATTTTGCCGTGCAAGACGCGCAAGTATTTTTTAAAAATTTGGAAACTTGACCGAAAACGCTGTTTACGCGCAAATGGGGTACATTTCAGCGAGTCGACCGATTTTTTTAAGTTTGAAGGAATATCTGTATCATCGTAGAAACTCAAGATAGTGGACTTCTAATACGCTTCTTTTGATATAAATTACACATTTGAGCGTACAGGACGCGGAAGTATTTTTCAAAAATTCGGAAATTTTATCGAAAACGCCGTTTTTGAAGCAAAGATATTATTCGACAACAAAGATAACTATTATTTTTTGCTAAAACTATGTTGTTAGACATCGACTACCTTAGGCTCGTACGAAGCTGGGAATATTTCCCGAAATTAAAAAAAAAAATCAATTTTCTGCGAAATATATCTTTGCTTCTAAACAGCGTTTTCGATCCAACTTCCGAATTTTTACAAAAAGTACTTCCACGTCCTGTACGCTTAAATGTTTAATTTATATCAAAAGTAGCGTATTAGGAGTAAACTATCTTGAGTTTTTACGACGATATTGATATTCCTTCAAACTTATAAAAATCAGTCGACTCGCTGAAATGTATTCCATTTACGCCTAAACAGCGTTTTCGGTCAAGCTTCCGAATTTTGAAAAATATTTGCGCGTCTTGCACGGCAAAATGTTCAATTGATATCTAGGCTATATTCTCAAATTTTCGGGGTTCTAGCGTGACTGCTTCGTCCATTAAAAAAATCAACAAATTGTCAAAAATCTCAATAATTATTGGGATCACACATTTTACAATTGTGCGATGCGGGAGCACTTAAGAGTTTCCAATTTACGTATTATTGGCAACGTTGCAATGGCCATAAATGAACTTTGCGTATCAAAATCATGGGGATTTGTCAGTTTCAAGACGTAGAGTTGAAATCAAACGGCGCTAGCCCCTTTTTTAGGTGGAAAATTTTTTCTTAGAATTCGAAACTTTAGATGGACCTTGCCAACAGAAGAAGTTAGAATTTCAGAAAAAGAAGAAAGACAGGTCCATTTATATTGTGAGAGGCAACTTTTCTGATATAGCCGTCAAGGGATTTCGAAAAAGTGTTTTTTGCTCCACCTTATTGTACCAGCTAGAGTGGTTACGGCACCATCCAGAGGTACAGTCAAGTCAGCCGAAAACTTGGTTTAATCAACCATACCTCTGGCCGGTGCTGTCACAACTACTCATCTGGTTGGCGCCAAAATCATCCAGGAGTATACTTGAGATTGTCATACTTTTTTTCCAGTGTCCCTTAAGGAGGAGTTCTAAGGACCCTAGAAACCAAGCTGCATTTCTCTGACTCGGCACAGGATAAGACTATCCGACCTTGATTTGAACAGTCCCAGACAAGAATTCCTTAAATTTTAATAATTTTCTACAGAGTAAAAATACTGAAGAGACTTACGCTTCAATTTTTTGTGGTTCTTCATATCAAGTAGTATGAAGAAGTATCAAGATTAAATGCTTTCAACTTGTTTGCTTTATAACAACTAAGGTAACGCAGTGGTATGTCGGGAACGATTTATGATAAATTTATTTTTTTAACAATTAGTTTTGATCATCGCTGTATCCGTAAAATTAAAAATATCTTTCAGATTCCCACTTTTCACCGCTGTACACAGAATTTGTGCTGGTGAACTAAAAGCAACTGAGTTGATTGGGCAGATAAAAAATCATCCAGAACACATGTAAGTAACTGTTTGAATATCCTAATTTTATTTCTGCAGATCGCTCTCAAATATTAAGGTAGTTAGCATACTTGCTGTGAACCCGCTCAGGAAAAATTGAAAATTGAGCTTTTGCAAACCAAAAAAATCCATCACCTGTGAAGGGCACATTGTTGCTTTGTTCTTGATTGAAACAAGCAAAAAGTTGCCTTCGTTGCCCAAATTTCAGATGCCTCGAGGCATGCATTCTTACCTTACATGACACATCAAATCGCCAGAAAATGCGATTAGCCGTAGCTGCGGTTTGCCAAACCTGAGCATGTGGCTATACTAAAGGGAAAAAAGAGTGTCTGTGGACTATTAGCAGGAAAACTGTTCTGATCACATACAATGAGCTCAAATTTGTGTACGTGTCCCAATTTTCTGATGCCTAATGGCACCCCATTTGTATCTTACTTGGCACGTCCAATCGCACGAATACGCCTAATTTTAGGCTAATTTTAAGGATTTTGTCGATTTTCTCCTTCCTATAGTTTCTAAAAATGTCAATTCCAGTTTGTACAGTTTTTAGTACTATATGTACAAATACCGAATGTCGAGTTTTTAAGTTATGAGAAATATGCATTCACAGTTTTCAAAGTTGTGCATTTAGATGGCCATACAGCAAATAGCGTATGGTCAAGAAATTTATCATAGAGCAAATCTTCCTCTAAAAAATGAGCTTAAGAGATTTGAATTTGAAGCTAATGTCAAATGTTACACAGTGAGCTTAAAAAAAGACCACATCTGCTGCTCTTATTGAGAACTTTTTCTACGTAAAAAATTAACTACTTAGCTAGTGTAAAAGAGGTAGAGCAATTGATATAAATCAAATTATAATTACTATTAAATTTTTTCTATGATTTTTCGAGGAATATAAATATTTGGTCTTACAAAGTAGAAAATAAGATACAAATCCATCCATCCATCCACTAGGGTAGGTGGGGGTAAGAGTACGCATTTTTTGGTTTTTCCGGTATTTTCGTGACCGAATCGACTTTTAAGGCGGGAGAAGTGGTCAGGCACCTACTGCAAGCCCTCGCGCACAAATGCCCTGCGTTGTCCGAATTTAGAAATCAAATCCATGGCCGTGACGAATTTTATAAAAAAATTTGAAAATGTGAATTGAAATGAATTTGAAAAATTTCACCTGCGTACTTTCGCAAAGCACGCAGGTGAAATTTTTCTTTTAAAAACATCTCCTGGGCTCCAAATCGCTGTTAAATCCCGGAAAACGACCGACACTGGTCTCAAAGGGTGCCAATAGTGCCTAACCACTTTTACTGAGAAAAAAAAAATAATTCAGTCTCAGCAAGTTCCCAAAAAATTTTCGAAGTCAATTTTTTTTAAACAGGAAAATAAAAAAGTGTTATTACCCAAATTGAACAAAGGAACACAAAAATTTACTGAGATACTTAGTAAGTTGCCTATATCTTCTATTTCGAAGTTCCTATACCCCCCTCCCCCACTACACCCCACTTTTGGGCGCGTACTTTTGCCCCATTCTGGCTGCGTACTCTTGCCCCTTTTGTAAACATTGGACAACATAAACTAAAACTTCGAGCCCAAGGCGCTAGGTGTGAAAACAACCACGGATTATTAAAGCCAACACTATAACATTTTGATACAGTGTCTGTCAGATTTTCTCCATCAACTATTTTACTCACAAATGACAATACAAATACTAAAAAAATCGTTCTTTTTCGCATGAAAAGTGAACTTGCCTCATAATTCCATCAAAACACATCCACTTAGCACAAAATTTCGTCAACAAGTGAAACTCAATGTTGCCAACAACCAACTCCTGGTGCCATCATAAATTCAAACAAAGCGCGCGAAAAAAGTGCAGTGCGTACTTTTACCCCGTGCGTACTCTTACCCCCACCTACCCTATATCCATCCATCCATTCATACATCCACTATAAACTAAAATCCTACTTCCAGCTCCTTCGTAACGGGTAATCACCGCAACCGCTGCATGGATCTCGGTGCGGTTTTTTCGATGGTGTGCGCCGTGCGCTCGCGGAGGTCAGCCACTAATTTTTTTTGCGCTCTGAGCCCCCTTGCCGCTGCTAGGGCGGAAAGAAAATTCTAGGGGACCGCAAATCGGAGTGGGGCAGTGGCGGGAAAATATGAATTTATTGGAATCTTCCGTCGTCGTCGTTATGGTTATGCGTTCATCTCGAACTCTTTTTTTATGAAGTCACTTTCGTGACTCTGTTTAACCCTTTCTCATTTATAAAATTGTAATGATGCTATGCCTACCTATGGCCTAATCTGTGAATACTATGCCTAAATAAATACTAATGCCAAAGCGAAAGACTAATTTGGGTAGACGGACTTTTAATTGTTGTAAGGTTAGAAAAATTAGAAAGATAAGATTAATTGCTGTAAGGTTAAAAAAATTAGAAATATAAAATTAGATCGACAAGTTAGCGACGCGGTTACTTCGGGCGCAAGAGATGAAGAAGATGCCTTTGATAATAAATAAAAAAGAATCGCAAAACTGAATTCTGTGTTGATTTTGAAAGGGATGGGGTTCAAGTATGATTCGATTCTGCAACGCATCGTTTGGTCACTATCGGTACAATGGCTCTAGAATGTGAATTCTGTGGTGCTTTTAAATGAAAAGAGGAAAGCCGGACATGTGTTGCAGTGAAAGTAAGGTCTCTCTTGCTTTACTGAAAGAACCTCCACAGCCAGTAAAGGGTTTGTTAGTAGGTGATGACAGTTCTCCTAAAAATTCTATGAGTTCTTTGCAGAAGTTCAACTCAGCTTTCCTGATGACATCGTTTGGGACCGATCATGAAATTCGAGGTAGTTCTTTTTCCCCGACTAAGTTCAAGGACAGATTTATCATTCAATTGGTTCTCTCCTTCCGATGAAAATTAAGGCCAGTAATTTTCTCCAAATTTATTCTATGGGAGATGAAGATAAAGAAGTCGATAGGCGTTGCCAAATTGTAGGTGGTTTAAACGAAAATTTAACTTTACAGTACAAAGGATGTTCCATGAGCAAAACCACCTCATGTGAACATTTAAAACTGCTTTGGAGAGGATGCCAAATGAAAAATATAAGATATCGTAATCCATCCAGGTCGCGCGCTCTCTGGTCAACATCCGCGTAGATTTAATGCACCATTTGTCAATAAAATTGCGGCTTTGGTCACAGGATTAGAATCAGGGACACGTGACATCATTTTGCATGCTCGAGACAACAAATTGAAAATAGTACCAGAAACTCAAAAACATTACGATGCCTTGCAATACCCGCTGATTTTCTGGTGAGGGCAAGAGGGTTACCATTTCGAAAATTTGCTGATTGATCCCAAGTCTCAAAAGCCTCGCGGGTAGAAAGTGTCTTGCAAGGATTTTTACTCTTATCATATAATAGTCTGGTGAGATTTTTTAAATTTACTTCTTCGTTTTTGGCATCCATCTCATCAGTCTATCACTGATATGATTGTTAAAATGGAGTCAGAGCAATTACGTTATATTCTGTTAAATCAAAAGAAATTGAGATGTGAAAATTATGCTCATTTGAAGGGCGCAATACTAAACGATCCAAACGTCGATCCCAATAATTTGGGACAGGCGACTATTTTACCCGCGACCCATGTAAGTAGGCCAAGGTACCTTTACGAATACACTTAAGATTGCTTTGCATACGTTCGTTGAGAGGGCCGTCCGGTCCTTTTTGTATAACCTGTACTTGCAATCCAGGCTGGAAAGAAATAACAGATGAACTGATGCCTAATCCGCGAATTCCAATGATAGACATAATCTAACAGCACGAGCGTTTCACTTAAAAGTTAAGAAACTTCTTTATCATTTCATTTGCATTTCGTTACACCAAACTGTAGTCAAATCTGTCGGTCCAGAATACTGATTTAGGCAATCAGTAACGAAATTAAAGGCTGGGAACCCAAACAAACTTTACCAGACCGTTCGACAGGCTTTATTTTCAAAATTGTGGTAGATTGCCAGTAACAGAGGGTATAATGTAGGGCTTATGATTTGTCATGTTTCAAGGACTCCACGCAGTTCGCAATCAAGGTTTTGGTCCATTTTCAGTCTAAAATAGTTGACAAAAGAAACATGGTCTCAGTTTGCCCCATCATTAACATAGGAGGTTGTGGGATTGAAATGAAAACGTCAAGTGCGTTTTTCTCAAATCAGGGTACCTCGTATAAACGCCCCTATACGGACAAACTCTTCAATTTATTGAAACAACATACAAGCTGCGTGCGAATTGCGTGTCATTGCTAATAGCCTGTGACATATAGACAACTTTTTAAATTGACGCATCTCAACACACAATCAACCAAGTGCTCCAGGCTAGGCCCGGGGGCAGCAGCTTTGCCCCTTGTGTGAATTTCCCTCTTCCATCCTTTTTCTGCCCATCGTTTCGTTTCTCTCAACCTCTGTCTTCATTTATTCTTTCCTCACACAATAACTTTCACTTTTTCCAATTCCAAATTTACTGCTATGAGCCTGGGCCCCAGTGCTGCAGTGCCCTAGGTAAATTCGGTCCTAGGAGTTTTCACTGTTTCGTGGTCCACCTACCTCTCGATTCAGCCGTAGAAAAGCTAATTTTCCCTCGAAGATAAAGAAATTTTAGTGTTTAGTAAACAGATAAAACACAAAAAGAAGCATTTTGTCAGTTTTCTTTCACATCTGCAATCCAGTCAGAATTCCAGAAACGCCGGCTTCTGTGAAATTTGTTTTTGTCAAAATTCAGCTAACAATCTAACCTCTAAAAAGCCGCCGTGGATACCAGGCTGATCAAAACAATCTAAAAAAAATAGTTTTTGAGCTTCTATCAGATAAATACACTAATGACCAAAATATGAAAAAAAAATTGGAGTTGGTTGTGCAACAGTTCCTGGATGATTTCGCGAGGAATGACTCTATTTTGAATATCCTGCCTACAGCCCACCAGGTCATGATTCGGTGTTGGGCTGTATTCAGTTCATGAGAAGTTAATTCATTTGCTTCTACACTTCTTCAGAGATTTGTACTGTTTCACTACATTTTGTCAGTAATTTATTTTTAATTCGCTCCTTATATTTTTTCAGGGTGAAATACTGAATTCGTTACAAGGAGTTTATACTTTCATCGCCGAACGTAGAAAATGAACTAAAGTTGAACCTTTTTACCGATTTCACCTTTTTCATTCATATGATTCCTGTCCGTCAATTGTCTTGAGCGTTGCTTTTCAGCAACCTCTCACACACACGTTGATGTTGAATAGCCTATGAGTTAGTATTCGACCATATATTTCTCTGATGCGTTTATTTTTGCCTTATTTTCAATTAAGTCCTCTTTATCTAAATTGAGATATTAGGTTGAGCTACATCGTCATTTTCCAAATCTATTTTGTAAGCAATGAAATGAGGACAAGTTGTTTTCAGTGGACTTTGAGCTTTCAACATTTTGAAGGACTTGAATGGACCATTTCTATTCTCAATGGTTTCCTCTCCCCTTCAAACATTTTATTAACATTCCGTGTTTTGATAATGCATCATCATATTCAGTGAAATCAAGAACTTCAGTGGAAGTTAGTCTCGGTTTGATTTCTGTTCTTAATTTTTTTTTTAAATCAAAATTTAACTTTATTTTGTTGGCCATATTAGTATTAAAATAATTGATGTAGCAAACTCTTTTGAGTCATGCTAATGATGCTGTGATTGCTTTTGTGTCAATTTCTCACTTCGATGTTTCAGCTCATTGTAGGTATAGTTTTCCAAAGAGTATCAATTTATTCTGTTGGCATTATTTGTTGTTGCTTCTCTAACAGTTCTTGCACCAGGAAAGCCCCACATGGGTAACTTTATGATTCAGGGAGATTCAAGGAGGTCTTTAATGTAGCGTCACAAAAAGACAATGTATGCAAACCTCAAGTACAATTCAAGGGTTTAACTTTCTAATCACACCCTAGCAAGTTACTTTAATGATTTGCCACTGTAGAGAATATAAAATAAGAAGGAACAATCCTAAGATTTCTGCAAACTTCAAGGAAGGTTAAGTCTACCCTAAAGTTTGCAAAATCGGAAAGATTTTTCCCCAAATATTTAGCAATGTTCGTAGTGGCAAATCATTTTAACACTTGTCAAGGGTTTATTTCTAAAGATATATCGCAAAATGTCAGTAGAATGTAAATGGGAAGTAAACATTGTCCTTTTTAAAATGCCATGTTCAAGGCCTTAATCACAGCATCCCTGAGTTGCAATGTAAACCATACACGGCCTTCTTAAGGAAAGGAGCTTTTTAAGAGTGACTATGAATACGACCCTGCCACATTCTTCACTAATCTTCAACTTTCCAAATTTTTTTTCCACTCCTAAAATGAAGTCTTGTTTATGTCAATCATGCCACAGCTTTTTGTCTTTTAAGGAAAGAAAATTTAAGTACTCTCAATGACAAAAAGATACTCACTCATGCATCCACTGAATCAATGATATGTCATGCAGCTTCTAAAAGTTAAGATACGTGATAAGTTAGCATCATATCAAGTAAAAACAAAATTTAGCCGGGCACTGAATGCTTTGGTTAAGTGGAAAATCCTGTAGGTATCCACTTATTCAAAGTAAATTTATCGTATCAAACTTTTTATATCCTCGAATACTGTCCTCAGTTTTGCAGTTTTTCATTCATTCATGCATGCAAGTCTACTGTTTCTGGCCCAAAAAATCACCAACAGACTGTATTTACTAATTTTTGAGTTCTGGGTTTCTCTGTTTTGAAACTATATTGTTTCATGGCATGTACAAGTGAAAACGTTGCTTAAATTTTTGATCCCTGGATAATTTAAAATTTTTGTCATCCGACAGCATGAGATTGGATCGTCGAGGTATTGTGGTAACTTATATCTATGTATCCCTCAGCCTAAACGTTGCTTAAATTTTTGATCCCTGGATAATTTAAAATTTGTGTCATCCGACAGCATAAGATTGGATCGTCGAGGTATTGTGGTAACTTATATCTATGTATCCCTCAGCCTAAACTGGACAAATCATTTTGAAATAAAACGAATTTAAATCAGATTGTTTAATATTTGTTTATCACTCCTCTTGCCTCCAAAAACCAAATTCAAAATCGGCCAAATCGTCGAAATATTTTCATGGTTGATGGAGGATCAATTCCGGAGTCCAGAACACTGACGATTCTTGAAATGGAATTAATTAGGGCGGAGGAGGGGGTTAAGTTAAACTTTAAACTGGCAAATGATTTGTCTTAAGGAGATCATATCGGTCTCAAAATTTAGAAAGAATTATCATTTTTCAGCTGACTTTAGCGAAAATGGTCCATTTTGACATTTTCATCCATCGTCGCCTTGTTGGTGTAGTTCAAATTTCCAATTTTTTAAATTCTGAGTTGCAGCGTTTAGAGGATTGGGCAATAAATAACAAAACTATTTTTTTTCACGAAAGAAGACTGTCTAAGCTTTAAAATGAGCCCAAGTTCATCTTGCGGAAACAATGTAGATAGGCACGGTTCGTTTGAGTAAAAGTTATATGAAATTTTCTATCACTCAAAAAGTCTTTTCGGATTCGAAAAGTAGAGTGAAAATGGAGTCTTTCTAGCTAAAAATGAAAATAGGTTGTTCGAGCTCCTGGAGAAATATATCGTTTTTTGTATTTTTTAGGGCTTATTAGAGGCTGATACGAAAATTGAATCAAATTTCCTCAATGTTTCTGTTTTAATTTCTAAACTAAGATAGCTATCAAAATTATCTTGGTTTCATTTAAAAGCTGGTGTAATTTGCCGTCGATTGAGTGGTCTGCAAGCTAATTTTGTCAAAAATTGACAAAGTTATGATAGCTTGAATAAAGGGTATCCAAAATAAGCTTACTTGTTTTCCTTACCAAGTAAGGCTCTATTTTTTCTTTTTGTCCCTTCAAGACCAAAAACACTAGAGTCAATCTGTAAAAATTACAGCATTTGTAGTACTCTCAGGTCTGTAAAGAGCGTCAGATTTTTAAATTTGACCCATTGGTTCCGGAGAAAATAAATTTTTGGTTTCTGTTCCGTTCTGGAATGGGTCATTTTCGGGGAAATTTTCAATTCGATGCTGTAAGTGGCCAAATTATTCACATTTCAAAATCTAAAAGTCTCCTGAGAGGAGAGGTCATTGCCTTTTTATTGATGTGCCATACGACCCCTGCTGCTCCAAAATTTTGGGGCTTTGGAGGGCCGTAAGTCACAAAAATTTCAAATAGCAAGGGTATGTTTCGACTTCAGATATGGATTCTACGCGAAAAATTACGTTGAATTGTTATGGCGCACGGCCTGTTTGCTCCAAATTACTAAAGAACCCCATTTCTCCATAAAAGGCCAGGTCTTTTTGGAGAAAATAAGGGGCACAAAAAATCTGAATCAAACAGGCCGTGCGCCATATCAATTCTACGTTACTTTTGGCGTAAAATCCATATCTGAAGTCAAAACATACCCTTGCTATGATGATATGGCGCACAGCTTGTTTGATTCAGATATTTTGTGCCCCTTATTTTCTCCAAAAATACCTGGCCTTTTATGGAGAAATGGGGTTCTTTAGTAATTTGGAGCAAACATGCCGTGCGCCATAACAATTCAACGTAATTTTTCGCGTAGAATCCATATCTGAAGTCGAAACATACCCTTGCTATTTGAAATTTTTGTGGCTTACGGCCCTCCAAAGCCCCAAAATTTTTGAGAGGTCGTGGCCCCCAAAATTTTGGAGCAGCAGGGGTCGTATGGCACATCAATAAAAAGGCAATGACCTCTCCTCTCAGGAGACTTTTAGATTTTGAAATGTGAATAATTTGGCCACTTACAGCATCGAATTGAAAATTGCCCCGAAAATGACTTATAACTCCAAAAAATGGGGGCTTAGGGAAAAAACACAAAGAGTAAAATGTTCTTTATCATATTTTGAACTTTCTAACGAGCTTTACATGTTAAATTTGATCGATTGTTAAATTGGATAAAATCGATTTTCTGTACTTGGTCTCCTCGTCAGTGGCGCGTCTTGCGCCGTATGTCAATAGCTGATTGTAAGCAGAACGGAACAGAAACCAAAAATTGATTTTCTCCGGAACCAATGGGTCAAATTTAAAAATCTGACACTCTTTACAGACCTGAGAGTACTACAAATGCTGTAATTTTTACAGATTGACTCTAGTGTTTTTGGTCTTGAAGGGACAAAAAGAAAAAATAGAGCCTTACTCGGTAAGGAAAACAAGTAAGCTTATTTTGGATACCCTTTATTCAAGCTATCATAACTTTGTCAATTTTTGACAAAATTAGCTTGCAGACCA